CGGTTTTTGTCATTTCGATTTCAGTGTATTTCTTTTCCCTATTTGGATCCCTCTTCACTGGGGCCTGTTTGAAATCTTGCCTTTTGAGTCTGGGTGCATGTACTCCTCAACTCTAGGGAAATTTTATTTATAAATTCTTAAACTTGGGCTGGAGCGATAGCACAGTGGTAGGGCGTCTGCCTTGCGCACAGCTGGCCCGGCCAAGCCAGGTTTGATTCTTCCGCCCCTCTAGGAGAGCCCAGCAAGTTACTGAGAGTATCTCGCCTGCACGGCAAAGCCTGGCAAGCTACCTGTGACATATTGGATATGCCAAACACAGTAACAAGAAGTCTCACAATGGAAACATTACTGGGCCTGCTCGAGCAAATCGATGAACAATGGGAGGACAGTGCTACAGTGCAGAGCAATTTCTTGAACTATAAGGTCCTCCTTTAGTCCTCCTTCCGCTTCCTCAGGGACTCCTGTGACACATATAATTCCTCTTGCACTCATTCCATAGTTCTCTGGTGTGGTGTTAATTTCTTTTCAGACATTCTTCCATCTTCTGTTGGTTTCTAGAGGTCTCCTACATCCAGTCTTGGTGTTCATTAATTTTTTTCTTTTCTTTTTTGTGGCTGGCTGTTCATTAATTTTTTCCCTCAGCTTTTGTTACTCTGATGTTGAGGCCTTCCACTGAGTTTTTTATTTCACCTACCATACTCATATGATCTGTCACTTCTGATTGTGTCTACACCATTGTTTCCTTGATCTTTTCTTTGACCTTTCATTAAACTTTTGCATCATGGTTTCTGGTTACCCTAACATCTTTGTATTAGAGGTTACAAAGCACACTGGTGCTAGGGTAGCCTTCCAGGCTATATCATCATTCGTTGGTCTTGGCAGGGTTTTATGCAGCTTTGCAGTGTGTCTGTGATCTCGTGTTTTGTATCTAGCTCCCATGAGAGTCCTCTTAGGGAATTCAGCCTCTGTTGTCAGTGAGGGCTATCCCAGGATTGTAGAATTCCATGCAATATTGGAATCATCAGGAGATATTGGTGTGACCTTAAAGGACATGCGGTTCAGCAGAGGATGCAGTTTGGACTTCATCTGGTCCTCTTAAGGCTCTTAATTGGTCAAGCTGGAAAGGCCATTTGGGAAACATTCATCAGGCTGGCTGGCATTGGGTTCCTCTAGGGCAGGGACTGATCTGGGATTTCCAGCTAGCTAGAGTTCAACATCTCTCCCAATAGTCCTCCCTTAGAGGGCTCCAGATACCCTCTAAACTGGAGCCTGTCCCTTAACTTTTCTCTCTTTGCTAGCAACTACAAACCCAGTTATATGTTAAATTTCCACATTCCCTGATATAAAGATTTGGCATGCGAATAAATTTGGGCCATAAGTTTGTGAATGTATATAGTGTGCAACCTATGGACCATTGCCAGCTCAACAACATAGTATCCTCTCCAGAATTTTGCTTTTTGTTTCTCTTCTTGAACTGTTCTATGCACATAAAAGAACATATCTTAGGAGAACAAGTGAACATATCTTAGGAGAACAAGTGAGTTACTGGTGACATGTGCAGAGACACTTGTTGGTATGGAACTTTGCCTATAGCATACTGTTTTATAAGTAATTAGTTCATTTATTTCAACAAGACATCATTTCTTGATTTAGTTGCAGGGATGTAAAAAATGACAAGAGATAGAAACTTATTTGTGCCATTTTGGAGAATCATAAATATATTATTTAGATAGTTCCATACGCTTTCATTTTTATAGCTAGGAGCAAATTTAGTTGCTTTGCACAAAAGTCAGATCAAAGTGGATTAAAGACCTTCATATCAGACATGAATCCATAGGGTACATAGAGGAAAATGTAGGCAGGACTCTCCATGACATTGAAGCTAAAAACATCTTTAAGGATGAAACAGCACTGACTATGCAAGTGGAAGCAAACATAAACAAATGGGACTACATAAAACTAAGAAAGTTTTTGCACTTCAAAAGAAACAGTGACCAAAATACAGAAAGAGCCCACAGAATGGGAAATAATATTTACCCAGTACCCATCTGATAAGGGATTAATATCCAGGATATACAAGACACTAGTAGAATTATACAAGAAAAAAACCTCCAACGCCATCAAAAATGGGGAGAAGAAATAAACAGAAGTTTCCTCAAAAAAGAAATACAAATGGCCAAAAGGCACATGAAAAATGCTCAACATCGATAGCCATCAGAGAGATGCAAATCAAAACAACAATGAGATATCATCTCACACAACAGAGACTGGCACACATTCAAAAGAACAAAAGCAACCAGTGGTGGTGTGGATGTGGGGGAAAAGGGACACTTTTTCACTGTTGGTGGGAATGCCCACTAGTCCAGCCTTTCTGGAAAAAAATATGGACAGTCCTTCAAAAACTAGAAATTGAGTTTTCATCTGACCCTGCAGTACCACTTCTGGGAATATATCCTGAGAATGCAAAAAAGCACAGTAGAAGTGACATCTGTACCTATATGTTCATTGCAGCACTGTTCAAAATAGCCAAAATCTGGATACAACCCAAGTGCCCGAGAACAGATGACTGGTTAAAGAAGCTTTGGTACATCTACACAATGGAATACTATGCAGTGTCAGGAGAGATGAAGTCATGAACTTTGCTTATAAATGGAAAGACATGGAGAGTATCATGCTAAGTGAAATGAGTCAGAAAAAGAGGGACAGACATAGAAGCACTGCACTCATTTGTGGAGTATAAAACAACATAACTTGAGGCTGACACCTAAGGATAGTAGATACATGGGACAGGTAGTTTGCTCCATAGCTGGAAGCCTGCCTCATGAGCAAAGGGGAGAAGGCAACTAGAATAGAGAAGGGATAACTAAGAAAAAGATGGCTGGAGGAATCGTTTGGGATGGGAGATGTATGCAGAAAGTAGATAAAGGACCAAACATGATAACCTCTCAGGGTCTGTATTAAAAACCATAATGCCCCAAAATAGTGAGAGATTTTGGGGAATCATGTCTGCCATGGAGGCAGAGGGAGGGTGGGAAAGAGGGTTATACCAGGGATATTGGTGGTGGGGAATGTGCGCGTGTGGAGGGATGGGTGTTTGATCATTGTGTGATTGTAACCCAAAATGAAAGCTTGTAACTATCTCACGGTGATTCAATAAAATTGAAAAAAAATACATTAAAAAAATTTAGGTGCCCTGGTTTCGGGGTGACAAAATTTCTTCTTACCTTTATTTTTTCTCAATTTATATTTTTATAGCAAATCTATTTAGCAAATTCATTTATAGCAGATTTATTTAGGTGGCTTGGTTTCTGGGTAATAAAACTTCTTATCTTTCTTTTTTCTCAATTTATATTTTATAAATCAAATAGTGAACATACCGAGTAGTGTGATATACAGCAGCTATCTCAAAATATACTCTGTATAAAAAATTACATAGGGTACAAATTCCTGGGACTAACTCAACCAAAATTTCAAGCTACTTATTTTATTATTAATATAATTATAATAATATATAACATATATATAACTATATCACGGTTATAGTCATAGTCCTCCCATTGTTCATCGATTTGCTTGAGTGGGCCCAGTAACGTCTCCATCATGAGACTTGTTGTTACTGTGTTTGGCATATCGAATATATAATAATATAATATATAATAATATAATATATAATTGTATATAATATATATAATATAAGCCTGGCAAGCTACCCGTAATGTATTTGATATGCCAAAAACAGTAACAACAAGTCTCACAATTTATTGTGAGATGTTACTGGTGCCCGCTCGAGCAAATTGATAAACAATGGCAGGACAGTGCTATCTTGCTATTTTATTATTATGCATTTTAGCATTTGTAAATTACTATTTATTAAAATAGTTGCGGACACACCCAGTGATGCTGGGAGTCCTGGGCCCCTCTTAGAGTTGGTTAGTCTGGTGGTGTGGGCCTGGCAGTGCCGTGCTAGGGCTGTACGTACTCAGAACCATGTTTAAAGGGGATGCATAAGGTCCCAGGGACCAACCAAAGGTCTCATATATACCACAAATATGTCCTACCACATGAATTATCTCCCTCTCTTCCAAAGAACAGTTTTAGAGGTAACATTGAATAACTTTAAAGTCCAAATTTGTGAATTAGACATTTTTCTAAGATCAATTCTTGGAAATAAAAATTTCAATAACTACTCAGATTTCTAAGCTCTTAATATTTCAGGCGTTTCCTTTGAAACACAACAAAATCCCTAATTAAGTGTCTGGTCTGGCAGGAAAAAATGCGTGGAAGTATGTGAAGGAGGTCCATCTCTTGAAAGTTGAGTTAGTTTATATTAGGAAAGATTTCACAAGTAATTTTCATGATGGTCTTCAGAACCCTTTCTGCCACCTACTATGCCCAGACAGGAACAGAACACTCATATTGCCTCTGGTTGTCCCAACCTGCAATCTGCCTCATAGTTTTTTTACATCTTTCTTAAATTACCAAATCCTGTGCTAAGTAGTGTTTGACTGTGTTACGAGACTCTCAGATTAAATTCTATTTATACAAAGAGAAGATATTTTTTATTTTTAAAAGGATTGTTTATTATAAATAAGCATTCAGTTGTTGAAGTGGAGTAGAGGGGTTTGGGAACCACTGCCCACTCATCATTTCTTGCCAAAGAATCCTGAAGTCTATTTCAGGGTTCACAAGCCCCAGTTGTGCAGCCCACCCTTTCTTCATATTTGTAGACAAACTGAATACAGAATTCCCTTGAGTGGACCAGCAAAGGAAACTGCCAAACCCAAAGGCAAAGATATACTATGATGCAACCAGAGAGCTAGAGTGGTACTATGGCAGGGGAGGGAGGGAAAGTCTGCTCGTTAAAGGACAGGCTGCATGTGAGACAGGATTGCATGGTTTGGCTCATGTGTGTCATGCAGATTGGCCTGTGTGAGAGGAGTCTCCAGCTGCACCCCCTAGGCTCTCAGTAACAATGACAGCCAAGATCACCCTCCACATACCTTTTCTTCTCTCATGGCCCCTGTCCCTTCTCCGGCTTGGCTGTCATGGGGCTGGAGCTCCAGCACTGTGCGGAAGAGCTTCTCTGAGGTCTGGGTTAGGAAGCCAATCTCTGCATTTGGGTGGAGGCCATAGAGGTACGGTGACTCTGGAGGCAGCTCAGCATCAATATACTGGAAAATAAGAGCAAACTCACTCAGAAACAATGTGAGGTATATTTTCCATCTCCAACTCAAGGCCAGCACCTGAAGGGTCATCCCCAGACAGCGGGGGTGTGGACACCAGTGCTATGCGTCCCCCGGGTAGTTGCTGGTCACCACCCCTTGGTGATGCTCGGATGCCCGTCACCTATGGTACAGACCCTTCTTGTTGCCTTTATTGATATCATCTGTTGTTTCATGCCAGACAAGTTTTCCTGAATTTCCATATCCACGAGGTTATTATTTCTTTTTCCTGGAAGCCTGGGAAACTTTCTCCTGAGCTCACCTCCTCTCATTTCTTCCTTACATACCTTTGTTCCTTCACACACAGGCAGAATTCTCACATTGCTTCAGTCAGAAATAACTATTACCTACTAATTTCTGGTTGTTATTTTTGAGCCACACCTGGCAGTGCTTAGTGCTCACTCCTGACTCTGTGCTCAGCGGCCCATGGGGGGAGTGTATAAGGGTGCTGGGGATTGAACTCATGTCTGCCATGTGCAAGGCAAGTGCCCTGACCTCTACACAGTTGCTTCAGCCCCTATCACTGTCACTGCCCTCCCGTTGTTCATCGATTTGCTCAAGCAGGCCCAGTAACGTCTCCTTCCATTGGAGACTTTGTTATTACTGTGTTTGGCATATCAAATACATCACGGGTAGCTTGCCAGGCTCTGCCGTGCGGGCGAGATACTCTTGGTAGCTTGCCGGGCTCTCCGAGAGGGGCGGAGGAATCGAACTCAGGTTGGCCATGTTGGCTGCGTGCAAGGAAAACGCCCTACTGCTGTGCTATCGCTTCAGCCCCTACTACAAAATATTTTTATTCAAACTATTCAGTGATCCCGGTACTCTTCTTAATTTTCTTTCTCTTTGGGATGAGGGAGGGTACACACAGCAGTGCTTGGGGAACATGGGATAGAAATCTGAGACTTGTGATTGCAGGGTGGACATTACAGTCTTTTGAGCCATCTACCCAGTCCCTTCCTCCTAGCTTTCTTTTTCTCCCACTTAATTATTAAAACCAGGGAAAATAAATGTAAACATAGGACCATGCATGTAAAAATCAGTGTGTGAAACTTGCTGTAGGATGCAGTGAGCTTTACTCAAACTGGAGCATTAGAGCATTCAAATTTCAAAAAATTTAAGAGTGTGTCAACCAAACAGCACATCTCTGTGGTAAACCATCTATAAAATAGACACAAACTGGCCAACCTTATCTTGTTCAGTTTCTTCTCTGAGTATGTTCTATGAAGAGATAGGTGTTCTCTAAAGTGAAAAAAAAAGATATCCTTCATGCTTAACTCCTTATTTGATTTAGATGACAACTTGGTGTTGGCAACACATTAAAGATTCTTTATGCCTGAAAAACATATTTGTGAGTTTACTTTGGCATTTCCCCACACAGATGACTTGATTCTTGATAAGTGCCTCATAACCATATATATTAATTGACAGATTAAAGAGAGGAAAATATAAACACTAAAGAAAAGGAAATTCTCTAAGTCATGTGTAAGTATGCAGACCATGTGATTGCTGCCCATTGCCGTTCCTGCTTCCTTGGTAATTTGTTCACTAGGTTCTGAAAGATACTCTTGCACAAGCTTCTTGGCTAAAGCCTTAAATACGTTAGGTCAAGTTTATTTTTAAAAAGTATTATATTTTCTTGGAGGTATTATTGTTTGTAAATTCTCATAAACCAGGTTTATTTTCGATATAGTGATTTTTTACAACTTATACTTTAAATTTTATGAATTGAAAAATTGCGTGTGCGTGTGTGTGTGTGTGTGTGTGTGTGTGTGTGTGTGTGTGTGGCATGGGGTAGGGTGTGCGTTCTAAGTCATGGGTCTTTATAGATATAAGACATTTTACTCTTGAGCTATCTTCCTGGTCCCTGACTCTAAAAAATTTAAAACTTACAGTTATATTCCTATGACCTGTGTTTTTCTTGAGTCTGATACTCAAGTATGTCAAATACCTACCTGATGTGCTATTACAGCCCATGAATGTGTCTTTTTTAAAAAAAAATTTTTTTTTGTGTCACACCCGGCGATGCGCAGGGGTTACTCCTGGCTTTGCACTCAGGAATTACTCCTGGTGGTGCTCAGGGGACCATATGGGATGCTGGGAATCAAACCCGGGTCGGCTGCGTGCAAGGCAAATGCCCTACCCACTGTGCTATCGCTCCAGCCCCTAAAAATTTTTTTTAAAAAATGTTTTCCATGACAGGTAAACATTTTTTTTTTTTTGCTTTTGGGGTCACACCCGGCGATGCTCAGGGGTTACTCCTGGCTCATGCACTCAGGAATTACTCCTGGCGGTGCTCGGGGGACCATATGGGATGCTGGGAATCGAACCTGGGTTGGCCATGTTGGCTGCGTGTAAGGCAAACGCCCTCCTCGCTGTGCTATCGCTCCAGCCCCAGGTAAACATTTTAAACATAAAAGTAAAAATAGCTGTTAAAATGAAAGGCCAAAGTTTCAGTAATAAAAAGATCCATGATAAGGATTTTCTTGGTGTCGGTGTGTCCATATATGTGCCAAAGTTAATAAATATCAATAGAGAATAGGAGGGGTCTATCCACCTGAAGATATTTAGAATTTCTAATACAAACTTTATGAAAAGTTGGCTAAGACTTTCGTGAAAATTTGCTCCTAACCTCTTTATTGGTATCCTAAATAAGAACAATCAAATCAATGCCCAGCATTTTATTTGCAGGAAAATACACAGGCTGGGGAGATTTCATAGCAGGTAAGGTGCTTGTTTGACATGTGCCACAGACTCTGGTACTAATCCCTGGACCACCTATTGTCCCCTGAGCCTTTTCAGGAATGATCACTAAGTGTACAGCAAGGAGTAAGCCCTGAGCACTGCTGGGTGTGGTTACAAAAAGTAAACAACAAACAAAAACAGAAAAAGAAGAAAAAAAGCAATAAGTAGAATTATTGAACAGAGTATGAAGGATGAAAAAAGATCATCAAAGACTTGATTTCACCATTAATTTAAAATCAGGGATCTTATACTTAAATTGAACAGGTTGTTCTAGGAGATGACATCCACACGTAAAAGCTTGACTGTTTAAACCATCCCCTCCCCCCACCCCTGATACTACAAGAGAGTCTCATGATGAACAAAAGCCAAGGCTGCATGTTGGCATCCTCAGGGTGTTGTGATGATGAAGACCAGACTCACCTGATGATAACCATTGTAATCCATGTTTCCGGGCAGTAGAAAACCAGGGGCCAAACACAGATCTCCTTCTAGCATTTCTGGTTTGATGAATTCCTCCAGGTAAGTTCTGCAGAGCCTTCTGTCCCAGTCATCTGTAATATGGCCTCCATACATGATTTCTCCAAAGAGGTAGCGCAGATCATCATAGGGAACCTGAGAGAGAAAAGAAGCCTTGCCTTACTCACAGTCGTCACACTGACCTCAGGAGTGGGCAGGGCATGAGTCACAGGAGAAGCCGGTCCTCTCAAAGTTAGGCTTTGCCTCACTCATGATCATTAATGATTGCAAACAAATCTCTTTATATTACTCTCCTTTTATCACTGTAGCACCATCCTCTCATTGTTTATTGATTTGCTCGAGCAGGCACCAGTAATGTGTCCATTGTGAGACTTTTTGTTACTGTTTTTGGCATATCGAATATGCCATGGGGAGCTTGCCAGGCTCTGCCGTGCAGGCAGAATACTCTTGGTAGTAGGAGGTTTACTCCATGACTTGGAGACCAGCTGCATATGCTAGGGGAAAAGGCAGCTCAGATAGAGAAAGGAGCACCAAATAAAGGGTGTTGAGAAATTCCTCCCAGGATGGGAGATTCATGCTGAAAGTAGACTATGGACTGAACATGATCACCACACAATGCCTGTTTTGCAAACCACAGCACCCAAAAGGAGAGAGGGAACAAAAGGGAATGCCCTGCCACAGAGGCGGGGTGGGATGGGGGGGACGGGTGGTGGGAGGAATACTGGGATCATTGGTGGTGGAGAATGGGCACTGGTGGGGGGATGGGTACTCGATCATTATATAACTGAAACCCAAGTATAAAAATTTTTAAGTCTGTAACTGTACCTCATGGTGTTTCACTAATAAAAATTTGAAAAAAAATACTCTTGGTAGCTCGCCATGCTCTCTGAGAGGGGTGGAATAATCGAACCCAGGTCTGCCATGTGCAAGGCAAATGCCGCTACCTGCTATGCTATTGCTCTGGCCCACTCTCCATATATAAGTAAAGTAAAAGTAAAGGCCCTCCCGTTGATCATCGATTTGCTTGAGCAGGCCCAGTAACGTCTCCATTGGAGACTTTGTTGTTACTGTGTTTGGCATATCGAATACTCTCGGTAGCTTGCCGGGCTCTCCGAGAGGGGCGGAGGAATCGAACTCGGGTCGGCCATGTTGGCTGCGTGCAAGGCAAATGCCCAACTGCTGTGCTATCGCTCCAGCCCCTATATATAATATATATTTGCATATATATATATTAAGTGCACCATTTTCTTCTTGTTATTGTTTTGTGGTTATTAATTATGGTAACAAATCTTTAAATATATATTCAAAAATATACTTTATTATATATTATTTGCATATTATTATATATACGTATATATATTATTGTTGTAATGACTAAAGGCCACACATTTGATTGTAGTGCTTATATAGTTTATGTCCTTGATATCATACACATTCTTGTTGTTTTGGTTTTTGAGTCACACTGGATGTTCTCAGGGCTTATTCCTGGCTCTGTGCTCAGGTATCATTCTTGGTAGGTTTAGGGGTTTGTATGTGGTGCCAGTGATAAAACCTCGGTTGTCCGTAAGTGCCCTGCCTATTGTACTATCTCTTGAGCCCAGAGATCATACACCTTTATTGTGGTGTTGGGGATCACAAGCAGCAGAACAGCTTATATTTCACTTAAGCTTGTTGGTGATGTTATGAGTCAAATGCATGGTCTCACTGGCCTTAGCGTTGTAGGGCAGGTACTTTTCCACTGAGTATTCCAGTCCCCTATGAGCCCTCTGTTTACTTATCATGAGTCCTTTTTAAAAGAAGAGAATGTCAGGTGGAGGAAAGCAAGGAGTAGGGTTCTTTTCTAATTTGCCACAATTAGCATATCAATATATTATTTTTCAATATATTAAAATATTTTTAACCTTCCTTTGAAGGTTTAAAATGAATGGAATACAGCATGAAAGTCCACTGGTTTTGAAGTTATGGTGGGAAGCTACTTGGGGAAGTCTGTTTCTTAGTGCAGCAAATGAGGATTAAAGTCGAGAAGGGCAGGCTTCCTAGAACCCATGAGCTGGAAGAGGTGGATTACTTAGGGTATCTGACCTGACATATTTTTCCACCAGAAAGAGAAGATGGTCTTGCTGATGCTGTGTTTGGTTCATCAAAGAATATCCTGATGATGTGGGCGTTCCCTCAAATAAAAGAGCAAGAACTGCTTAGGCTTGTTTTCTTTGAATGGAGATATCAGAGCTGGAGCGATAGCACAGCGGTAGGGTGTTTGCCTTGCACGCAGCCAACATGGCCGACTCGAGCTCAATTCCTCCGCCCCTCTCGGAGAGCCTGGCAAGCTACCAAGAGTATCTCACCCGCACGGCAGAGCCTGGCAAGCTACCCGTGATGTATTTGATATGCCAAACACAGTAACAACAAAGTCTCCAATGGAGACGTTACTGGGCCCGCTCGAGCAAATCGATGAACAATGGGAGGACAGTGACAGCGATACAGTGATCAGAGAGTAAGTGAGACTGCTGTGTTGAGACTATGGCTTCTTCTTTAACTTTGACAAGACCATGTCTATGGTCTTCTGAGATGTACACTCCAAAGAAGTTTTGCATGCTTGACTAATTAAATAACAACTCGTATTAGGGGAGTGTGTGGTCCTTTCTTGCACACCATGATCTTCCCCTCCCCCCGTTGTGCTGCAAATGTACAAGGGTGGTTTTGCAGAGCCTGGGTGACTGGTCATGCAACACCAGGCATGAGTCACGAGATTATTTCCTGAGTTTTCTTGGTTTCAACCTTCCATGGTATTCTTCTTACCCTGACACTGGGGTTGGCACCTGGATTAAACTTGCACTTCTTCATTCCATTTTGGGAGTGTGTAGATCTTTTCCAGAAATTCCCATTTTTCCATGAGTAACTGTATCATCTTTCTGAGAGGTGACCTGCCCTACCAACCTCATCTGATGCTGTGTTCTTTACCTTTGTGTTGGCCTCCAAAAAGTTGTAAAGCACATTCACAGAAATGGTAAGGTCCCCAGTGTTGAAGGGGTAGGAGCGATTCCATCCTTGGGGCCCAAACTTTCGTCTTTCTGCCACCACTGCATGAAAGTAACAAAGAGCAAAGAGGATGCTCTTAAACTCCATCTCTCGGGTACACATATCCAAGGTGTCCTGAAAGGAAAGAGTAATGAATGTTAGTAAGTATTTTTTACGCAGAAGAGGCTAGAGTTGGTTACAATTTGCTGAGGGTTGTAATAGTTTCTATAAATTTGTGCTAGTTTTTGAGCTGCAGTGAGATTACACATTGTATTGCAGTTTGCTTTAAAGGGATCATCGTAGATTGAATATTAGTTTATAACCTGAATTATAATTTAGATTCAGGTTATAAGGGACTTGGTTTAATGATAAAGTTTGTACATATGGATATATTAATTAAAATCTCAAGTATAGCTAATGAAAAGGATAGTGGGCTATGGGCAGGTTTTGTTGGTTACATTGGACTGGGATATGGGTAGGGATTTCTATAGCATTCTATTGCATATTTCTCGCTCTGATTTATTGTCAATCATAGAAACAGTATGTTTATTTACTTCCTCTGTAGGAGAAGAATCTTAGCTCATCTGACTAGAGGTCTGCTAGAAAAGGGAGAGGATAGTATTATAATCTTAAGAAAGAGAAAATTTGTGTCCTTTCTCAATCTAACTCCTCCATTGAGGGAAACAATTGTATTGGAAGTCCTTGTTAGAGAGTGTATAGAAGGAAGGGATGTAACTTGTGAATATGGGAGGAAAGAAGGGGACATGGAAGGAAAGAAGCAAGAGATTGTCCATAGGAAGTAATGGAATTGTGGTTGGTGTATTTTCAGGGGGATGATGGTGATGGTGGGAGGGAGAAAGCTTACGTTAGAAAAGTATGATGAAAATAAGGGCAAATATGAAGGAACAGGACACAAATTTCTGGATTCCTTAATCCAGAAGTTAAAAATAATTTCAACCAAGTGAGACCCTTTACTCAAAACCAGCAAGGTATTGCAGCTGGAAGCCTAAGAGAGGAACTTGGGCTAGAGAGATAGTCTCCATCCAGGTTCAATCCCTCTAACTCACATGGTTCCCCAGTCCTCTGGGAATGATCCCTGAACACAGAGCCATAAGGAAGCCTTGAGCACAGCTGGTTCTGCCACCCTCCAAACAAACAAACAAAACCTAGAGAGAAACTAAAAGCTCACAGAAATTGAGTTGAATTCTGTCATATATACGCACACACACACACACACACACACACACACACACATATATATATATATATATATGTACATACATACATAAATAAGCTACTGGAAGATGGGGGATCTGGGTGGAGGAGACTCAGTCCCAATCTGAGCAGTCTTGGAGATCTCAGCCCCAGGTCCCTCACACCTGGGTTCCTCTGCTGGTTCTTTCATGTGTGAGACTCCTGAGCGTGTGGAGAGCGGTCTTGAGCATGGCTGTGGCAGGGCTCAGGAAGTCATCAACTGCTGGGGCTCTGCTTGGGGCGAGGAGGGAAACTCAACTTGCCCTCCTCCAGGGCCCTGGTGAGGACATCCAGGCAAGGGGGCAGGAGACTCTGTGTTGTTCTCTTTCGGGAGCTTGGTTTTATAGTCTCTGTATCTTGGCGGTTGATGGGATTACACGGTGCTGGGGGCACTTGGTGGGTGTAACTGTCTAGCTACTGGAAAATGGGGGAACCTAGGTGTGCGGGAACTGGGGCTGAGATGTCCAAGCCTGCTCGGATAGGGACTGAGTCTCCTCCACCCAGATCCCTCATTTCCAGTAGCTTATATATGTATGTATGTATATATATGTGTATATATATGCGTATATATGTATCTATAAAAAACTATTTCCCTCGAAGATTGGTTGCCTCTTACTTTGAACCCCATCAAATGTGGTATAGTACTCTTGGAGTATGGGTGGTGTGAGGCATGAGTTGTCATGTGGCTGTGATGTGGCCATGTGGTCCAGGAATAGGTTCAGTCGTGGGTAAGGCTCAGCCCGAGCATGTGGAGAGCGGCCATGAGCATGGCAGCGGTTGGGTTCTGAAGGTTTTTGGCTGCCGAGACTGGGTCCCTTGGGGCGGGGAGGGGTCTCACCCACCCCTTTCAGGGCCGCCCAGAATGAAACAGCCTGACTCGGGGTCCGGCACCATGGTTATGGCATGTGTCATGTTATGTTCCCTTCCAAGAGAGGACATGCGACTCTGAATCATGGCTGATGATGAGATTATCTTGTGAATGAGATTTTAAAATAATCTCTCTTCTGTTTCATAATTTGTATATATGAAAGCCATGGACTTTTGCATATCATTTTTGGAGACTGCCACTTTACTATACAAATTTATTGTTTCTATTTTGCTTTTTTGTAGTGTGTTTAGTATTTTCTTTGTAGAGTATCATGTCATATACACATTTTGAGAGGTTGACTTCCTTTTCTATCTGGATTCCTTTGATATCTTTTCTTTGCAACTTGCTATTGCAAATACTTCTAGTACTATATTTAATAGCAGTCTCAAGAGTAGGCAACCTTGTCTTGTGGTGCCTGACCTTAGAGAAAGACTTAGTTTTTCACTATTGAGTATAGTGTTATCTGTGGCCTTGTGGTAAATGACTTTGACTATCTTGAGGAAAGTACCTTCAATTTCTATTTTGTTGAGAGTTTTTATCAAGAATGAATGCCATATCTTGTCAAGTGTTTTCTCTGCCTTGATTGGTATGATCTTATGTTTTTTTTTTAATTTTTTCTTGTATTGATATGGTGTATTATGTTGATTGACTTGCATGTGTCAAATCATCCTTGCATTACTGGAGATGAATCCTAATTGGTCATAGGTGTATGAACTCTTTGATAAATTGTGGGATTCTATTTGCTAGTAATTTGTTGAGAATCTTTGTTTCTGTGTCCACTAAGGATATTGGCCTAGGGGTGCAGTGCTGCCAGCAGGTCTACCTGTACCTGACAGGCGAGTGCATCAGCAGCCGGATGGTGCCTCCAGGCTTCCTCATACTCCAGAATTGTCACTGTGCTTCTGGATAGGTCCCAACAATTTGGGACCAAGTTTCCCAAGAAATTGAATGGTCAAAATGTGGGAGCCATGCCTCTGACTCAGCTATACAAGTTCATTTATTGGACTTGCTTCACAGACCCATGAATAAATCTCAAAAGAGATCAAAAGCCACAGTAATCTCATTCTTGCACTGAACATACTGGCTGAACATACCAGATTAAATCGGAGGAGGGCAGGTCAGCCTGATGCCCACCCAAGAAGAGCCCCTGGCAACCACATGCTCCCACAATACATACAAAATCACCACCATACCGCCAGCCAGACTCCGCTGTCTCGGGACTGACCTCACTGAGATATTAACCTGTTGAAAATTCAGATATGTGAAATCTCCAGGCTTTCTTAGAGTTGGGATGGTACTACCTCCCTCCACTTCCCTATACTTCTGGAAGCACCAGCAGTCTCCTCCACGAACCAACTCCAGTGCCATCATGTAAGCTCCTGAAAGAGCCTGAAAAGAATTGGCAGTATGACAGGTTTTGGCATGTTGAATACGCCACAGGGAGCTTGCCAGGCTCTGCCCATGTGGGCAGGATACTCTCAGTAGCTTGCCAGGCTCATATATATATATATGATTTGTTGCCTACTGTCTGAACTCCATCAAACATGGTATGGTAATTATGGAAAATGGGTAGGAAGTGTCTTATGATGTGTCCAAAAAGCGGCCTGGAACGTGGCGACAGTTGGGTAGTGGAGGTTGGCTGCCAGGGCTGGGTCCCTTGGGGTGGGGAGAGCTCTTGCTCGCCCCCCTATGGGGTTCCCCGAGTGAAAACAGCCTGGCACAGAGTCCAGAATTGGCAGTAGGTTCTTTTAATGTCTGAAAGAATTCACTAGTGAAACCATTCAGGCCTGGGCTTTTGTTTTCGGAATAACTTTTGATGACAATTTCAATTTCCTAGATAGCTATAGTTCTGTTCAGGTGTTTCAGATCCTCCTTATTCAGCCTTGGGAGTTATAGAATTCTGGGAATTTATTCATTTTTCTAGGTTCTCTTGTTTTGTGGCATAAAGATTTTAAAAGTAATCTCTGACTCGGATATATGTGGTATCTGTTGTGATGTTCCCTTTTTCATTTCTGATTCAGTTTATTAGTGCTCTCTTTTTTGTGTGAGTTTTGCTAGCAGTTTATCAATCTTGTTTATTTTTTCAAAGAACATTTTATTGATCTGTTGGAATACTTTTTGGGATTCTACTTCATTAATTTCTACTCTAAGTTTTATTATTTCTTCCTCCTGCCTGCTTTGGTTTTCTTTTGTTGGTCATTTTCCAGTTTAAGTTTTTCAGTCAAGTTAGATCTGTGGGCCCTTCCTTCCTGATGAATGTTTGCATAGCCATGAACTTTTCTCTTAAAACTGTCAACTCTGTGTTTGCTGTATCCCGCAAGTTCTGATAGGTAGTATCCTCATTGTCCTCTATTTCCATGCAGTCTTTAAATTTCTTCTTCGTCTTTCTCTCTGATCCACTGCTTGTTCAGTTATGAGCTATTTGATTACCATGTGTTTGGATTGTTTATCCATTTCTGTTTGTGCACCTGCTGTCAGTGAATCATGATCTACTTTCAGTGCATCATGATCTGAGAAGATAGCTGATACCATATTTGTGCTCTTAGCTTTTTAGAGGTATTTTTTGTTTCTCAGCATGTGGTCTGGTTTGGAGAATGTCTCCTTTGCTTTGGAAAAGAATGTATATTTGGCCATTTGAGGATGAAAGGCCCTATATATATGCACTAAGTTCCTCTTTTCCGTTCTTTTTCTCAAAGTATTTTTTTGCTAACCTTTAGTATAGTTGATTTATCAGGAAGTGGCAAAGCAGTGTTGAAATCTCCAGCTATTATTATGTTGCTTTACATGTCTTTAGGTCTATTAGCAGTTGTTTCAGTATTTTGTTGGTTCCTCATTAGGTGCATATATGTTTAGGAGTGTGAGTTTTTCCTGAGGTAGATATCTCCTGATAATTAAGAAATGCCCTTTGCTGGGGGCGTTCCGGTCCATCCTTCACGCCCTACCGAGGCCACCAGTTGCCCCCCACGAGCGGCTCTCTGGCACAGTCACGGCCCCAGAAGCACAAGGACTTAAT